GGGGGTGTGGGGGGGTTACATTACCAATTCAATTAGTATCTTCAGGCCTGAGTGGCTCCGTGCAGCTCCGTCTGCCTATTCATTATATTTACATAAAAAAAAAAAACCTTTCATTGAAGTAGAGCTAAGGGTTAGCTCATTGTTGAGGGTTAGCAGCTGTCGCTAATAAATGTTCCCTGGCACGAGAATAAAATAAATATTTATCAAATATTAACGGAAGAAAAAATTCTGTAACGAAAGTGTGAGAAAATAAAACTCAACCAAGGCCTGGAAGACCTGGGAGTCCTGGAAGACCTGGGAGTCCTGGAAGACCTGGGAGTCCTGGAGACTCAGCTCAAAGACCGAGGCTGTTTATTTCTGCTTATTCAAAGCAGATCATTTACTAGTCAAAGGAAACAAACAAGGAGTCCTGGACCACAGGGAAGTGGCCTCTGTTTAGACAAAGAACTCCATCCTTCAAATTAAATAAACACCAAGTCAAGAGGGCGGCGCTACAGAGCAATTCAGTGCATCCAGAACTGTTCACCTCATGAGGGAGAAAGGAACTATTAAAAAAATGGATACAAGACGAATTAAAAAAAAAAAAATGTCCAAGACCAAAGTGTGAGAGTCGGTGTGAATGCTTCTCTGAGACCCCCCCCCCTCTAGCCCCCAACCCTCATGTTGAGTTTGGGGCCCCAGGATTAAGGATGAGGGGGTGTCCTTCCTGCCCACCGTCCCTCGGGATTTCTATGGCCGCCCCTGGCTTTAGTCTTGGAGACTGCAGCAGCCATGCGTTAAAGCTGATTTGCTGCATCACAGCAGGCTGCAGCAGCAGCATCCTCCCGACAGACGGTGGCGTCGAACCCCAGTCCACTAATCCACCACTAACCACCCCACTCACCCACCATCATGGACATTATGATAAATTCAATATTGAATTATAATAATAATAATAATAAAAACAATCCCCCCCAATGACCTTCTGGAGACAAGTGATGTCACATAACACACGGAGAATATGATTGGACAATGCCACACTCACTCGAGTTGTCTCCGTCGTCCACGAAGGTCACCTGGAAGGAATGTCCGTTGTTGAGAATGTCCAGGCAGGTGGAGGGGTCGTACTTCAGGGACAGCGGCTTCAGCCCGGCGTCGTACGACGCTTCGCCCGGAACGATGTCAATGGGAGACTGGCGAGGTCCGTCTGCGATGGGGAAGTTCTCCACCCATTTGGCGGGTCCTGGAACAAGACACGATGATGCGTTAAAACATTTTAGATCTATATTCTATTCTAATCTAACCTGCGGCTTCATCCGTGCGCATTTATGCCCCGGTGCGTAAAACCCGCAGAACGTGCAGAATTCACGGTGGTCCGTGAACGCAGCACGCTTCCATTCATTCATTCAATCACTGGAATCCTGGTTCTGTTATTCCAGGATTATTAATGCGCCGTCGTTACTGCAGCTATTTGTCCTGTGATATTTTTAATTTTTTTTTTTTTTTTTCGTCTCACCGTTGTTGTCTGCGTATCGCCAGGACATGGTGGCACTTTAGATCTTCTGAGATGAACTGAACAGACTGTAGTCCCTGTGAGTCTCCCCCTCAGTCAAACACAGCCAGTGTCCTCCACCTGACAGCTGCACAGCTTTTATAGAATCCTCCGCGTGTGCGTGTGCGTGTGCGTCTGGCTGGTGTTTGGTCGCACGACGTTCGCGCAAAGACCGGGAGGAGTTAAGATGCGCAGTAGCAGCAATAACAGCGGCTACAAATGTGATATGTGAGGCTGGCTGACCTGCCGACAGACGAGTCGACGGAACTCGGATTCAAACACGGTCGACGCGTTTGAAGCAGATGCGGAACCACAGATAACGGTTCAAGTCGCAGCAGTAAAGGAAATAACGGGATTATGCAACAGCACAGAGCGCAGTGTGACTTGAACGCCTCAGCAGCAGCAGCAGCAGCAGAGAGGTTTTATTAAAGTGTGACTGCAGACAGATGTTACTGGGAGGTTATTGGTGACTTATTAGTGTTGGATGTTTGAGACTTTTGTCAAATGTTCAGACAGTTGTTGTTGTTGTTGTTCTAGAGTTTTTGTTGCTTGTTCCTGTTCCTGGTTGGTCGACTGGTTGGTTTCAGTTCTTGTATCTTGGCAGTAGTGAGATCTCACCCTCTCACTGGTTACACTTGAAAGGAGCTGCCCTTTCATCTTGATGAAAGACAAATATTTAATTCATCCACCCATCATCCATCCATCCAGGCAGGCAGGCAGGCGGCCAACTCCGCGTCCAACCAATTACTATTCATGCCTAACCAACCAATCATCAATTAATCTCCCCAACCAACCATCCAATCAGCAACCCAGCATGCAACAACTCCCAGTCCAGCCAATCACTGCATATATTTGAACTATTATCCATCCATCCATCATCCATCAGTAAACATCATGGCTGCTCGATAATAATAACAATAAATTAGCTCAAAGCTACAGTATTTCTTCTTTAATTTTTTTTTACATTTATACACATTTATATTTAAATTATTTCAATATTTCAATATTTCAAATGAAAAACAAACACAATAAATTATACTCTCATTTATTGACAATATTTATATATTTGTGTTTATATTATATATAATATAATATATATAGTATTTATATATTACAAGTGTATTCGTACACTTATTAATGTACTTCACAACATTCTGAATCTCTAAATTCCAGGTCATTTTTACTGCAGTGTTGTGTTCTTTGTTCTCAGACAAAAGATTTATTTACTGACGTTTTTCTAAGAGGATTAAATACTGCGCAACAACTGTGGCGGAACTGTGCTGCCATCTGCTGTACCAAAGTGAAGCTACAACAGCATCGTCCTCTGATACAATTACTACTACTAGTAGAAATAATAATAATAAAATTACATTAAAAGCTGTAAAATATTTTTTGTTTAATCGATAGAAAACACTGATTAAATTAGAATTAAAAATTACTTCTTTTTTGGCTTTTTTAAAGAAAAGCAAAAATATAATGTTATTTTTCTACACCAGCTATGACCACTTAAAAAAAATAAAAGTGTGTTTCTGCAGCTACTGTTGTAGCTACCACCAAAACCCGAGAGGAGACGCAGGAATCTGACAGCAGCATCAGTCGACTGTGAGATTTTATTCATCTGAGTTTGTCAGCGTCTAACCATCGTCATCCAGACAGAACGGTGTTTTTACACAAACACACACTGAAGCTACACCTGTCTGGTGTGAACTGACAGGACTCCGAGACAGGAAGTGTCTCCTGTGAAAAAACAGCATCGCGTTCAGAAGACTTGCACATGCAGTGTATAAATAAATATGAATTTGTGTTTTTCTCTCCATGACACCATTGAACAGCATCGTTCTGTGTTTGCCCACCAGGACTGGTGCAAACACCTGGTAAGAGTTGAGACAGTGTTGTGCAATGAAATGCAATGAATGAACAGCTTTGTTTTCTCCCCAGTTTTGCCACATTTTCCAGACGGGCATCATCTGAAAATCTCTTTTTTCTCTCTCTCTCTCTACAGGTGAGCTTTTAGGGCAAGAAATGGTGCAGAAATAAACAGCCAGACTCCAGATATGATGCTGAAGTTCAAAGAAAAACAACAACTAAATCCAAGAATGTCTTTCCAGTGAGGAACGTGTAGGAGAACAAGGCGGACGCTGTGACAACAAACCCTTCTCTCAGATCTCACTCTTGTTCTTTTTCAACTATTTCTCCCTGTCATGTGATGTTGTGGGGTTGGTTTTTTTTTTGTTTTTTGTTTTGCACCTGCTCCAGCTTCATTTGTATCTTCACACACCAGTGCGGTGTAAAATGAGGTGAGAATCTAAATCAAATCCTTGCAGAAGTCTGGAGCAACGTGTTCCCAGGTCTGCTGCTGTGGGACTAAAGAGAGAGGAAAACCAAAATATGAAAATTATATTTTTTATTTATTTTTAATTTGTGTCGTTGGGAAAAATCAGATAGTTCCAATATTTTAAAAAAATATAGCTAAATTAGGAAACTTATTATAAAATATTTTTTTTAAATATAAATTATCCACAAAAATGTTAGGCCAAATACTAAATGTAGAGGTTTAATTTCTTTTAAATTTATATTATTTTTTAATTACCAAAAAATACTTTTCCAAATAGCAAAAAGTATCCAACAAAAGTCAACTAAGATTTAAAATTCAAGTATATACATAGGTGCTTTTTGACGGTGCATTAACTGAGCTCATATTCAGGACCACAGTTTGTGCCACACCCTGGATGTGACTGCCCCCTGTTGTCAGTCCTCTACACCAGACACTGTCACTTCTGTCTAACAGGTGTCCAAACCTGATGATGAGATATGGATTTTCTGGTGGCTCCAGTGAGCAGCAGGGCATTATCAGTATTCTGCGGCTGCACTTCACCGTGGAAACCTGACACAGAAGGTCAGGGGTGTCCCGCTGGTCGGCTAATTGCTTGTCTCCCCGCTGACCTCTGGGTGAGTTAGAGGTTCAGTGAATCCGGTGGGGGTGAGGGTGAGGGGGAGACTGGTAAACAGACTCATCTGAGGGTCACACATGTGGAACAGAATCTGGCCTCTCTGTCTTTTTGATGCAGGAATGTTAGCCTTAGCAGCTAGCAAAAAGCTAACGGTTGATTAAAGAGTTACTGTTGTGTTAAAGGTTCTCAATTATGTATTTTATATAATAATAATAATAATAATAATAATGATAATAATAATAATAATAATAATAATAATAATATTGAGCAATTTTAAAATCAAATCTGGTAAAAAAGTTAACCATTAAAACAAAACAAAACAGTAACAACAACAACACTCCACTGAGATATGGATCATTCCTAGCCTTTACAGCTAACTTCCTTCCTTTTATGTTTAACAAAGCAAGTGTAGCCAAGCTGACAGCAGAACCCCCTGAAGAGGGCAGTTTAGCAGGTGAAAAATATTTGCAGTAAAAAGTGTTCAACTGTTGTGCTCTCTTTTTTTTAAAAAAACAACAAATCGTTTCATGTTTCTGTGATTCAGTGGAGAACGAGCAGCGAGGAACAGATGCCGAGTGAAAAAGCGTCGCCCTCGGAGCAGGCGCTTCCTGCTGGGAACCAGATGACAGTGAAACAGTACTGGCACCACTTCACACCCGGAGGAGACATGTGTCACTGCATGCATATATTTGAATTTTGGATGTAAGGCGATGGTTAGGCAGAGCTGCGTTCACTGGTGGCAGATCGAAGGCAGCGTTTCACGATGTTTGTTAAGTTAAGACAATGAGAGATGTGTTGGAAACAGAAGATAAACGTTGGTTGTGCTCCAAAACTACTCGTCTCTTTCTGATTTAACACTAAAATGTAATCCCTGTTTTAAGAGGACTTTGGCTCAGCGTGAGTCTCCAGCGCCTCCTGCCAAGGACACAGTGGAAAACTAATTAAAAATAAGTTAGATAATGGATTTAAACAAATTAAACCCAGTGTGTCTTTGACAGAGACAAGAGACAGAGAACAGCGCAGGACACCTTCGACAGAAGCTGATTAGTCACAGGGCTAATTAAACCTAAGGTAAAGACACGAAGGAGACACAGACCAGAGTGGGGAACGTCCACAGGATGGTGCAGTGGACGCTGGTCTTATCAGGACATGTGGCGACAAACCAAATTCAGAACATTTCCCCTTCTGCCAATGATTAAATGTTTTTAATTAAAAGTCCAAAGTGTTACCAAATATACTGCAATAGTTTGAGTTTAGCCAAAGCTAACAAACGTAGCCTACAACTAGCCACATGAGTAGATAGCAAAAAAAAAAAAAAAAGAATTCACCGTGGTGGTTGTTAACTCAAAATAGCTCCTATTAATTAAGCCAAAAATGATTGAGAGAATTCACCCTGGTGGTTGTTATCTCAAAATAGCTCCTATTAATTAAGTCAAAAATGATTGACAAACAAAGTAGTGGAGCTATGTTTTACACTGAAATGGAAACCAGAAGCCATTAATAAATTAATTACTTAAGCGTTAGCCTTTGCGTAACACGGCTAGCCAAGACAACAGCTGAAATACAAGAATTTAGTTAAGAGCTAATCTATTTAACTGAGAAATAACTTCTTGTTGCTTAAATGCATTTTAAAACACCAAAAGAAAAGTTAAAAAAACCCTAACAAATCAATACAATGGGGGCCATTAAATGAATGCTAACGAAGAACTAATGGGCCATGAATTCTTTGTTTACAACAGAGCCACAGTCTATGGATTAGAACCTGTCCGTTTACCACATTTGGCCACCAGGGGCCAGACTTTAGATGCAAACCTTAGGTATTAAAGCCTTAGTGGAAGTCCACAGTGTCCAACAAAAGTGTGTGTGTGTGTATTTTCTGCACATCCGTGTGGAACTGAAGGCCTATTTGCAGTTTGTCATTTCTGCAGCACAGCTGGGAGTTTTTCTCTCTCTGACAGTATGAGCAGCGAAAGGTTGCGGCACCTCTACTTCTTCCTGTGACAGAAATAAGAAGCAGTGTGTGTCGGGGCCAGAAGACAGACAGATGCTGCTGCTGCTGCTGCTCTGTGTGTGTGTGTGTGTGTGTGTTGAGTTTAGAGTCGTCTCTTCTGCATTAAAGTCAGTTTTATTTGTATCACTCCCTGTGGACAGCTTTTTTTAACGTTTATATACAGTTATTAAGATTTTCATTAGCTTAGCAATTTATATTAGTATATTTTAGTAAAGTAAAATATTTGGTCAAATGTTTCTTTTTAAGAATTGTAAACAGGGTTTTTAACCTTACAGATGGGTCTGTGCAGTCTTTGTTATGATTAGCTTCTTTGCTAACCTGTTGCTTTTAGCTTAGGCTGCGTTTAGCCAAAAAGGTAGCCTAAACCTACGATGTTTATGTTTTGGTTTAAAGCTAATCTTGATTATTTTTTGTAAAACGTTTAGCAGTTTTTGGGTCACGATTAGTTATCTTCTTTTTCATCTTTTAAGCTAACTGGATGAAATAGTTTGAGCTAACTTTTGGCTATCGCTAGCTCTCCTCCTATTCAGATTTCGTCTTGCTTTTGACTTGTCTGTGCCAAGCTTTTATAAAGAATACGATGATCCTTATTCCGAGCTGCACCAGGGTATTAAAGTAATTCCAAAGTTTTGAGGGTAATCTTAAATACATTAGAGGAGGTTTGACCTGAACCGGCTTTGTGAAACTTTGTCCCTCTGGTACGTGCAGTAATTGAGATTCATGTGTACTCCGATGGCTGCCTTCACAGTAAACAGTTTTGTCATGGATTTGACTGGTTTAAAAAAAAGTTCTCTCCCCTGGTTTCTGAAACCCGTCGTTAATGTCCTTCAGGGCATTTTGCCAGGATCCATATTTCAGTGAAAAGTTTGCTCTTCAGACCAGACTTTGGATGAGTAATGATTCACTTTTAGATGTTCTCAGCAGCCAGAAATTCTCCTCACACGGCAGGCTTATCTCATTGGAGAATCTGTATATTTTGCTTTATTGAATTCTGGGAGCTTTGGCTGCTGTGGCTGCATCTCCGCTGTGATTGAGAATCAGTTCCACGTGTGAAGGTAAGATTTCACCGAGCCTGTGGAATATTCCCAGCACTGGGATGGAGTAAAGAATGAGCAAGAAATACTATTTATAAACCTGGAATAACTCTCTTGATTTTTATATGAAGAGTCGACCTTTGGAAACACTGAGTGGAAAAAGTCCAATCAGGCTTCCATAGACAAATACTGCCTTCATCCTACTGTACTTGTCATGTCATACATGAGTCGACTGACAGAGTAATGAGCCGCGGGGCCCACAGCTGCCACCGCAATCCACTGGGATGGCCAATAACTTGACCACAAGATTACATTATTATCAGGGGTGTAAGAAAATATCGATACATTGAAATATTGCGATATGTAAACGTATAAATGTATAGCTATAGTTAGCCAAGGATGCTAAACATCGGCTCAAAGAGAGGAAAAATATAGAACAATACCATTGAGATTCCATGTAATAAAAACAGCACAGCATCAGTTCCCTGTTCTGATCTATAGTGTAATCTACACACTGGTCCATAAACCTCTAGGATAGCTCTTAGTCCTAATCCTGGTCCAGGTTTTGATTCCATCGTTATAGAGTCTGGTGTGTAATAAATTGGCTAAAAAAACACACAAAAAAAAAGCCAAACTCAAACCTCTGCAGCTCCGCGTTTTTTCATCTGCAACAAACCACCAGAGCGTCGAGTGACTGCAAGCTGTTTGGCTTGTGTGGGGAATGAAATAGGTTTCTCACTTGAGGGAACACGGCCACACAGAGTTGCTTTTTTAATAGTATGAAAGGCAGGTTCCCGGAGTCAGCGGGGAGATTCTACCTGCAGATGCTGGAGACCCGTGTCGGGCCGAGGGACAGGACAGGACAGGAGAGGACAGGACAGACCCGTGTGGGGCCGAGGGACAGGACAGGACAGGACAGGACAGGAGAGGACAGGAGAGGACAGGAGAGGAGAGGACAGGACAGGAGAGGAAGAGGGGGAGGAGGTACGGCTCCGAGGAGATCTGTATTTGCCTGTCAGAAAACTGAGGGGGAGGAGGAGGAAGAGGGGGAGGAGCAGGGAGGCTTTGGAGACAGAAAATAGACGCATGAACAAAGTACATCTGTTCATCCTCTCTCTCTGCTTCATCACGCGTCACCCGCTAAACACAGGAGCTGCTAAAAAAGAAAGAAGGAAGAAAATAAAAAAACCTCAGGTCCTTCCATCTGCCTCTGCTTCCACACTGCTGTTAAAACAGCCACAAACTAATGGAAACAAAGGGACAGGACGTCATCACCACAGCTTTACATAATGCCAACACTACATCACACACTCTCCTCTCTTTTTGTTCTGGTTCTATAATCACTCCCCTCATACTACAAGGAATAACTCGACCTTTATTGTGGTTAAAAGTAAGGGGTAAAAAACAACAACAAAAAAACAAGAATTGAAATTAAATCATGCATTTAATGCTCAAAATATCATGACAAATGCAATGCAGCATTTTATGGCAGCCATTGTGTCAGTTATTTTTTTTATGGGATTGATCTTCATTGAACATCTGAACATCTACGACAAACTTGACTTTGGGCCAAATCGTTTATTTTAAGGCCACCTAGTGGTCAGTGGTTAGTACTCTTGCATAACAGTGAACTGATTTCTCACCAGTCTCACAGAAGTTTGAAGAAAAACCTCGTTGCATCAGGATTTGACGGCGGTTCTGGTTTAATCAGGTCTGACTGACAGGGTCACCGTCGTTTAATTAAAGCACAGTGACAGCTGACGATGTGTCGTCACTTATTTTACAGCTGAGCCTGGTCCAGTTTACTTCAGTGAAGCGAAAGAAAGCAAACACACACACACACACACAAATGCAGAAATTTCTGATTTTGGGGAAAAAAAGTAGTTTCCTAGCAACAACATCAGTGGGACGTGTGCAGAGCTGAGGCAGACGGAGCGTCAGAGGATCACGGTTAGTGTTTCACCAGGCGTGGTCTCAAAATGATACGCATTTTTAAAAGGTTTCTGAGTCATTTTAAATAAAAGAGTTCAAAAAAAGTCAAGGTGGACGTTACAATCTCTGACTAACTCTAAGTATTCTAACTCTATGATTTACAGAGCTAGATTAACCATAGTTCATTATATTGTTTTTTCTTTTTACTTTCAGAATGATTACAGGAAATGAACCAACTCTCATTTCAGTTCCTTTTTTAATCAATCTAATCTTTAATTTAAAAGTTTTACTCAATTATTTCCACCTAGTATTTCTTTAAAGTAATACAACAGTAATATTTATTTTCCAAATTTGGGTTTTTGTTCTATCTGGGGCAGAGGTCATGTTGCATTACATTAGTAATGTTATTATGAGCGTGTCAGTAATTGAATATCATGTCTGACCTTGTAACAACCTGGTTAGAATTCTGACTTCTCACAAAGTATTTACAGAAAAAAAACAGAATAAAAATAAAATAAAATTACAGTTCAAATAAAATATTAAGGTCACGAGTTGTTGTGGCGTCTGTAACAGCTGTGTTTACAACCACGTCAGACAAATACTCAGGGTAGTGACAGTGGAACAGTGATGTAGGTGAAACAGTAGTAGTAGTAGTAGTAGTAGTAGTATTAGTAGTAGTAGTAAAACAGTCCAAACTAAGATTTAATAACAGAAGTGGAGACAGGACAGGTCCAGACTTTATTAATCCCACTCCAGGGAAATAAACGTTGACACAAAGAAAAAACAACACGGTCAAAAAGAACAAACAGTAATCAATAAAATGACAAAACTACTCACAAGAGTTCTGGGAAATAA